AAAGAACTCTGGAGCTATCTGAGCCAATTATCCTCAAAACCAAAATATTTCTTTCCTACTCATATTAAAGACAACGGATCAGAAATTAACGATACACAAGGTATTGTCAATGTTTTTAATGAACACTTTACAAAAATTTCTAGCAATTTATTAACTGAATAACCAAAACGTAACTTTAAACCAGAAAAATTAAAAGAATTCACAAAATCAAAACTTAATGCTGAAAATGTATTTAGCTTACTTCCTATAAGACAAGACGAGGTCTTCTCAATGCTATGCACACTTGACATTAATAAATCGGCAGGTATAGATTTCATTGGTCCCCGCCTCTTAAGACTTTCTGCCGATATAATTTCTAAGCCATTAACTCATCTAATTAATACTAGCATTACTAATGGCATCTTTCCTTTGCATCTGAAGCAAGCTAAAGTCACCCCTATATATAAAAAGGGTGATAAAAATGATCCAAGTAATTACAGACCAATATCAATTTTACCGACTTTATCAAAAATGTTTGAAAAACATGTTGCTAATCAAGTACGTGAATTCACCAGAGCTTTTGACCTCATTACGAACTCACAGAGTGGTTTTAGGGAATTCCATTCTTGCCAAACGGCACTAACCAAACTTACTGACAGCTGGTTGCATGCAATGGACCAAGGGAATCTCACTGGCATAGCATTTCTAGATTTCAGTAAAGCATTTGATTTAGTCAGCCATGATCTCTTAATTGAGAAATTGAGGCACTATAACTTTGATTAACTTACAATTAAATGGTTTCAGTCTTATTTAAATGAAAGAACCCAAAGTGTTAAAATTGGTGCATGTTCCTCTGATATCTTACCTATCACAGCAGGGGTGCCCCAGGGATCTATTTTAGGTCCACTGCTATTTTTATTGTATATAAATGACCTTCCCTTATGTGTCAATCACTGTAATATTGATATGTTTGCAGATGATGCAACTCTGCGTTTATCTGATAACAATGTACATAATATTGAAACATTTTTGAATTATGATTTATGCGAAATTGAAAACTGGTGTTAACAGAACCAAATGCTTCTGAACACGACCAAATCAAAATCTATGCTTATGTGTACTCAACAAAAGAGGTCAAAGTTAGATATTCCAGAACTTCACACAGAAATTTCTGGAGAAAAGCTTGAAAATGTTAATGTTGAAAAACTCTTAGGTGTCCATATAGATCAAAATCTTCATTATACTTATCATGTAGATTCAGTTTGTAAATCCTTAACATACAAGTTATTTACACTCCGTAAAATTAAGAAATTTCTTCCATTAAATACCAGAAAACTTTATTATAATGCATATATTTTGCCTTCAATAAACTATTGTCTTACTATTTGGGGCAATGCATCTAAAACTAGCATTGAAAGAATTCATAAACTTCAGAAACGGGCTGCTAGAATTATTCTTGATGCAGCACCCGACGAACCATCAAAGCCATTGTTTGAAAAACTGGGATGGCTAAATGTATTTGAATTAGTCACACTACATAAGTGTATTTTATTGTACAAAACTTTTTATGGTATGAGCCCTGAATATCTCCAGGACCTTTTTGTTTTTCATAGCCATGATTCCTATTCCTTACGTTCAGAATTAAATTATAATCTTCGTTTACCAAAACATCGAACAATTTTATTTATGAATTCCATTCAATATTCAGGTGTAAATTTATGCAATAACCTACCATTACATGTAAAATTATCACCAACCTTACCTATTTTTAGACGAAATGTAGAAAAAATTATAATTAGCCAACGTCTGTAAATAAATGTTTGAATATGTCTTTTGTACAAGATGTTTGATTATTACTATTGTTTAAGACAATGTCTCATGAACAATTAATATTGACTTCTTTATTTTGAATCTATATCTCTTTTAGCTGTACATTACATTTAATTATTCATGCATTAACGAACTCTACATGTTTTATCTTTGATTGTATCATTTTATGTAATATATTGTTTGAAATTAGAAGGCCCCGGGGAAGAATAGTACCTTGTACTAATCGGGTAACCTTCTCTAAATAAAGCATTATTATTATTATTATTATTATTAAGATGAATATGACAGCACCTTAAATACAGCCTCAAATAACCTTCGTTTGGTTTCGCGCCAAGAACCAAGAATATCCAGTCACCTTCAACGCTTTTCTCAAGTATTTCTGTGGTTACCTTAGCTACATGCATAGCATATATACAATCAGCTCCTGATAAACAATTCAAATGATTGTTTACTTAAACGTGCTTTCTTTTCTGTATTCAGATGTTTGTTTACTTCATATAAACGTGCTTTGTTTTCTGTATTAAAATGATTGTCTACTTCATATAAACGTGCTTTGTTTTCTGGATTAAACTTAAGTGTCTGTCACCAGCTGACTGTTCATACAGTGCATGAAGTCTTTTTTTTTAAACAATAAGCTAAATTTTCATATATTAAGAGAAGCATAAAAAAGTTTTAATTTGATAACTAAACAAGTTTAATTTTAAATTTTATTGATAAAAGATATTAATTCTTTTATAAAAGATATTTGACACATCTGTTCATATTTGAATATTTTACAAAAAAGACGGTAACCCAACATCAAACTTTTATGATAAGGAAATGTCAACAATCCTTAAAAGTCATTATTAAAAGCAAATTGTATGGTCTACACGATGACCTTCTCAGGAAAAACATTTTGTCAATAAGTCGAATCCTGAGTGACATTTTTTATACTGGTTGTTAGGTCATTATTTACAGACTGAGTGTCTACTAGTCCGAAATATTTGACATTTTCCTGGCTTTTTTGACGGTTTTGATACCAGGTATTTTACTTACCAGGAAAACGTCAGAACCGGAGCCATTACGAAAACTAGGACGCAACATTCTCGGGTTGATTTTCAATACTTGCGAACCGAACGAAATGGCAAACTCACTATTTGTCAATAATACAATAAGTTTTGATACTCATAAACATCATTTTTATGCTTAATTTATCAAATATATAATCCAATGAAAACATTTTATCTGACTGTTAAAATTTGTTTTCAATCTTGCCAGACTATGTAATTGGTCGGTCTAGGCTGTGTGCACATGATTAAAAATCGATTAAACTAGAATTACGAGTTATCACAGAAAAAACAAAAACAAACATAAATTGAAATATTTACTTACTACTGTAGCTAAAAAAATATCAATAACATAACGATAGGCACATAGAGAGATTTAGGTCAGAAGCATAGGCGCTTGTTTCTTTATTATATAATAACTATTCACATGTTTTTTAGACCAATGGTATACATTACACTTCTGCCGATAATTAATAACATGCTGACATATATTAATATTTTAAGAGACATCATCATGTTTATATCTTTCCTAGCATCTGGCAGAAATTTCAAAAGGAATAAAACAATATGTATATTTTTCTCAAGTAAATCATACTCAGATTGAAAAATTATCGACTATATTTGTCTTAAACACGTCGTTTTTGTGTACTCTATGAATAATTCTTCAAGAGCTGAAAATCTGCAATTCTCCAGTATGCTAAATTTTCGATAAACCGGCCTTTCCTCTAGTCGTGCCATTTTATTCAGTCCGGTTTGGATAAGTTTTACTGTATATCTACACGTCGTGTTGACTGCCAAAACACGTGTTTTCTTCTCATAATCATAAATAAGCTTTTGAATAAATCCTGCTTCATTTGAATACAAAACTAGGTCTGCTAATAACGAGACACCATTTGCACCCATGGGAATTCTAACATTGCTGAAAGACCTGGTCTTCAAAACAATATAAATGTTTTTAGTCAAAAACTCAAGAATCTATTGTAATGTCAACCTCAGTGTACTTGTGTGTACAATCAGATTAAAAAAACAAAGAAAAATAACTTGCAAACGACCTTTGAGAAGGTGAGTAAATTGACAAGAACTCATTAGTAGTTATATCTCGGCAAGAGCGCTTGCGAGATAGCATTTTTTGCCAAAGATTTGTTTTTTAATTTTCATAACCTCTGATGTGAAATGAATCGTTTCACAAACTTTACATAAGATAAAGAAATATCCAAATGCACCCACAGCGGTCCGGAGTCTGCATTGAGCACTTTCCGATCCGTGGCTTCTTGATCACATACAGAGTCGTACGCATCATCGTGAACAATTACGCCAAAATGTACATGTGAGGACACGTTTAACCAATGAAAACATTGAACTATATATTGAGCCGTACCACAGCAAAATAAATCCCTAGCTCATTGAAAATGATCAATCAACATTTCGGAACAGGACTCAATACCTATCATTGTAATGCTGAAACTTTGCACTATGGCTTTCTAATATCCAACAGTAAAAATATGAATTTTTGAAGATTACATAGAAGTCCAAGTAAAGGGATACAGAGACCATGAAATCCCATACTTTTGTTTCCCTTTCCCCATGGATACTGAATACCAAAAATAGTTGAAATTGGTTTAGCGGTTCCAGTGAAGAAGCTACAAATGTGTAGTGTTACATAATTATTAGACATTTTATTAAAAATAATGTTGATGCATCAAAAGAACAAAGGAAAGATGTTTGGAATTATATTATTTTTAAAGTTTATGGCCGGTAATATATCATCATCAAATATTTCTAAAAATATGAACAATAAACTGTATTTGCATTTTATTTTACCTCTGCAAAAACTATACAAGTATTATATTTATTAATATGTTCAGAAAAATAATACAAGCTAACATGATTACATTAAGAAACTTTTCTGTGCATTTAAGTTTGTCAAAATTGTTAATTTGGATCGAGCGTTATATTACCAGGTTTTGAATAAATAAGGCAAAGAACCTAATTTAAGAACTGGGCGAATGAGAATAATATTAACAGGAGAGATGTTTGGATTGACACTACATAATAAAAATTGGTTTAATACCAACTGATTCCGAATACATTGTACCTTTAATTTAAAAAAATTATCCAAAACCCAAGAAATTTATCAAACATTCCGGCAACTCCTTTGAATTCGATCTTGCCATTTTCTGAAGCACTAGACATTGTTCCGACTGAATCTTTGCTGCTTCCTGTATTTTGTGAAGTGGAATTTGTTTAAAAACTTTCTTGTAAGAGAACAGAGCATCCTTAAAATGGCCGGTCATCTGTTGACAGATACCAAGGATCTGCCATGAAATGTCTCTTAGTTCTTTAGGTACGTACCTATTCTCATCATAGTGAACTAAAACATGAAGATCATCAAGAGCAGATTGTACTTTCTTTGGGTCTATATGACGGTAACAAAGCACTAATAAGAAGGGAAGCATGACATGGGGAGGTATTAATAATCCAAGCATATCATTCTTCAAAGAGATTTCCTGTTCTAGCCTGAGTTCTTCTATATATGAAAAGTTATTACCAAACTTAAGAACCGTGACTGCATGCTTTCTTATCCTTTCAGACCATGGCAATCTTTTCACTGCTTTCTCGTAAGCCTCCTTTTCCACAGTATTATTAAACAGTACAGAAGGTTGGGACATATTAAACTTCAATCCTTCCAAAACTCTCACAGCCTCCTTATATCTGTGTGTCATATGATAAAAAAGTGCAACGTAGAGACTCACCGATAAAAATCCTGATTTTTCAGCCATCTTTAAAAGGCCACGAGATATTTTGTCACTCTTGTATTTAATTCTGTTACAGCCATCTCTAAAACAAGCATTAATCATAAAAGCATTGTATTGAAAAGTTTCGGATAGGGAAACTTGAAGGAAGATATTCTGATATTCCGTTAGATTATTTTTCTTACGCAGCATGTTCTCAAATGTTTCTAAAAGCCTAATAGACGTGTTACGATCCGTGATTTGATAAAGTGTTACAAAGAATAGTTCAGTGAAGAATTCTTTATCAAATACAGCACTGGGTAGAATAACGTCAGATTGAATGGAACGATTCCGAATTGAACTAGTATCTTGAAACAAGTCGCTTATGGATTTGGACATCCATAAGAACGATGGTCCAATGTGGCGTATTTTCATTAGGTGATCATACAGATTTAATTGCAGGTTTCCATGAATTTTTCCAAGAAACATATTATTTTCTGGGATAAAGAAGTTGGGACATACACCATGATAAACGAACTGACAAAGCATTTTAAAACAAGTCCAGAAGCATTCAATGAAATTTTGTCGGTTCCAAACAAGAGTACTGTTTTCTTGAATAACCCAAAACAAAATTGTCTTCATATGATATGAACAAAGTAACTTATCTTGTGTTCTTTTGTTTATCATCTCTTTCAAAAACAGTTTAAGCAAACCGTAACATAGAAATTGGCAATGATTCAAGGAATATATGTTTATGCTCTGCTTGTGAAAATGAAATCCTCCATTCGATGCTTTCATAGGAAGATGATTTATGTCCGATGGCAACAACATGACATCCATTTTTAACAATATTACAGAGTGTGATCTTCGATGGCCATCCATGCTCAAAACATCTTTTTATCCAGGAAGAAGCTTGAATTGGCCAGAAGTCGGACTTAAAACAGTATGCTTGGTCACACTCAAAATCTCCGGCTTCAATACTTACACATGGACCATGGGATGACGAGTTCTTATTGACTAAGCGCATGATGTTCTGATGTAAACAGCTTGACATATATAACTTGTCATTCATTTTGATACAAGCCAAAGAGACATCTGGTCTCCTAGAGTCACTGAGTAAGCGAAGAAGAACAAATCCCGGTGGACTGTGCTCACTCTCCATCATAATCAGTGTATTGTTTGTGGCCTCATAATGCGTTGCCTGAGATGATTTACTGATAAGCTTATGGTCTGTCGGCCAGTACATGACATCAATGTCTGATGTTATCATTCGGAATCCCTCTCGTTTACTTCCGCTCAACATTTGCCTGTAGCCACCTCTTCTTACTTCGTTTTCTATCTCATCTCTTACATCTATTACATTTCTTCTCATGGTCACCATTTTATTGGTACCCAAGTACCTCCAGAGTCCACGGTGTAAAGCTTCTGACATATGCTGCAGTTCTGCCATCCTGTATCTAAGAATTGGATATATATTTCATTAAAACATTGCTGTGACGTCATGCCTTTGTTCTTGCAGTCTAAAAATTTACCAGTAGCCGTCCGATAATAGTAATTACCAGTCTGATAATATATTATCGGACGGCAATGATAACAAAATCTGACGGTATTTAAAAAACAAAAAGAAGAGTGAAATAAAGTTTAAATATGTCCAAAACAAAAAAAAATGGTAGGAAAAAAATTCAGGGAAAGCAATCGCAAAGAAATCAAGTTTCTATACAAAATAGCAAATCCATGAACAAATCGGTCGAGTTTAAACCTACCTCAAAATTAATACTTCCCACCTTTTAAAAGTATTTTTGATACAGCACTTTGAATAAGCGAATTTAATCCATTTCTGAGAAATAATTTGCAAATCTATTAATTTTATAAGGATTGTTTCCAGGTGGCTGCACTTTTAAAACCAGAGAATTTCCTTTATACAAATTTAAATTTCAGGATCAAAATTCCCATTTTTACTTTCCATCGTGATGGTATAATAATATCACCAAAAATGAAATCTGTATCAATTTCAATTTAGTATGCATAAAATAAATAAAAATTTTCCAAATCAAAAAGGAAATCATTTACCACCGGACCCCTGTCCTGCTTAGCTAAACGACTGTCATTGAATGAATGCAACAAGAGTTCACTCACTGTTTTTACTGTCTCATTTCTTTTGTCTACTTATTAGACGGTTAAATAACAATTAATGCCTAAACTCCCATTGTGTTATTATCGGACTCCTCCAGGTAAAATGGCAATGTTTTAAGTAAGATATATGCCTCATACTATTCTATATGTAAAATTATCAGACAGTTTTCGGCCCTAACGTGCCACAAAGAGTCTGATAATTTTACATGTAGAACAGTATTCGGCATATATCCATTACATAAAATGATACTGAAAAACGTACTTATATGTAGTACCGTAAATCTGGAAATTTTTACGTCGATTTTTTTTTTTTGCGAATTCGGGTCAAAATACTGTTGATTAGTTTTTACGTTCCAAAATTTTGCGAATTTTGTGAATAACCACTCTTCTGTTGACATTTTCTTATGGTAATTTATTTTTAAAAAAAATGCGAATGCAATGAACTCGCAAATTTGCTAGGAATTAATCTACGGCAAAAATTTACGGAATGTAATAAACATAATATGTATTAATTATTTGCTATAAAAAATTAGTAATATGTTATAATAATAACAATTACTATCATATTGGTAATTTGTTTTTTTTTTTTTTTGAAATTAATATGTTTTTTAGAAATTAATAATATGATATAAAAAGTATATATAAATTGTTTAAACAAAATTTGTTTTAGCAAATTAATAATGAAAAAATTTGTGAACGGGGTATAAAAAGACAGACCCTGAAAAATGGTGAATATTTTGACACCATTGTAGACCAGAAAAATAAATATTCCAATTATGGTAAATTATTTCAATTTTAATTCACATTTATTTTCATAATTATTCCTTTTACTGATGAATAGATGATTAAAAAAATGTTGACATGATTGCTGATTCACTCGTGATTTTTATAATTTTACATTTTATAGTATTGTATTATTTTAAAATTTTTTTCTTCAAAAGACATTGCTGAAAACGTTAAGATTACTAATTTTATATTTAAGTTAAAAAATCATTTAAAGCAGTGTTGCTCAAAATAAGGAACGGAACGCCGAATGTTGACCTTGATTACTAAAGTCGGACTTCCTGTGTAATGCAACGTGCATACGGATTTTTGAAATCTTCAGTAATGGGGGTGTTCTTTTTGGCCAAAAACTTCAACAGCTTCTAATTATTTTCACAATCTGACTTATATTAACTGAAGATTTCTGATTTGATCTGGCTTTTGTATTTCTTCAAATTTCGTCAAAATAGTATTTTTTAACAAAATACTTATTTGTTTTATCAAATTAATAATTTGTTTGATCAAATAAGTAATTTATCTCAAATTAATAAATCTGTTAATTTATGATTATTTGTTATAACACATAACTAAAAATTTGTTATGATAACTAATGATAAATTTGTCGGAACAAATCACAATGTACTAATTTCTTATAACAAATTAGTCATTTGTTGTAACAAATTAGTATAATTAGTTATATAACAAATTGATAATTTGTTTAAAACAATATCATGAAAGATACGCTTCCGTGGTTATGTACACACATTGTTATTCGGTGACTCAGTAATTATACATTCATTCATTCACTAAAAAACCATATGTATGATACAAGTGGTTCATATATACATATTTACAATAATTATGGACGAGCAGAAATTACAGGAGGACAGACAGTGTCAAAAATTTTGGTTATAAATATAAACAATTTTAGTAAGAATGATGGATCAGTACTTGTCATCAAATTACAGAATTTTATAATATTTGGATGTACATATTATATCTGCCACCAAAATCTTTTCGAATACCACATAATGCATTGCATTCCAGTAAGTAATGAAATTCGCCTCCTATCTGATTATTCACGGAAAAATCAGTCAGGAAAGTTATGTTGACATACATGTAAAAGATCTTAATTTGGCCTTGTCGTGATTTTAATTCTGCTCGTTTAAGGAATTTAAAAAAAATGTTTTTTAAAACTTAAATTTAATAATTATTTTTTGTATAGAAAATATTTGAGAGGGTTTAGTTAACACTCTCAAATATTTTCTATGCAAAAATTTACTTTTATCTGTTTATTATGGTGGTCTGCAGGTTTCATGCATTTCGCTCGGTCCATTAAATTAAAATTATTACCCGTATAGGTAATTTTATGTCTAAAAGAGGGGTTGAGATCTTTTATCATGCCCACGCATTCTATACGGAGAGCGAACTCAATAAAAGCTGTATTAACGTTAATCTGTGATTCTTCCCCAGGGAGATGTGCGCGAGGCAATTTATGTCAGCAGTTTTTTGGAAGGGATCTTAAGTTTTACTGGATTTAGAACATAGGGAGAATACTAATTATTTAGAAGCCTTTGCACCCCGTCTCTCTCTCTTTAGGGGGGGTCTAATCAACTGCTGTTAAAAATATAGGAATATAATAAATAATATAATAAAAGGAATATTATAAAATATAGGAAACCAATTCTCCAGTAAAAATAAGCTGCCTTTCAAATTTTTACGTTTTTCAATATCAATTTTTTTCCCCTTCATTTATATTTACGTCGGGTACGATACCTCTGCGAAATGGTTAGAGGTATCACACCGATAATTGACCAATCAAAATGAATGTATATAGGTCCATACATATAAAATTGATTTTCCTTTCTTTTTTAGACGTTTTTCTATTTTCTTCCAAGCTATTTTTGTACCTGTGCCTAGTAATATGTACTTTGTGAACAGATAAAGTTTTTGACAGAAACTATTTTCTGGGCATAGGAGGCTACTTCCTGTGGTGCACTCGGGATGTTTATAAACACATTGAAAACACGTGGATTTGAGGGTAGCCCTGTTTGCAGATGGAAAAAGTCAGAAAATGCCGTGTAGGTATCGTGGTTTTTTTTTTAGTGTCAGCTAATGTGACAGGTAATGATTAACACCTCTTGCTAAATATATTTTTTTCAAGTAAACAAATATCTGATTTTTTAAAATGATTTTCAAAAACTATATTTGGAATTATATGGTGAAAACAATAACCGGTGTAATACCTAGACGTTACCTGATTGGCTATATACATATTTTTCATTTTAATGTAAAAATATCAATGATAGAAATACATGGTGGAATGAATCAAGTTTATTTTTGTAAACCTAGGATCCCCCCCCCTGAAATCCGCTGCCGTAAATGGTCTTCCAAGCGTTTGGGGAATATGGTTGATTTGCATCAATTACACTTTTATTGACTCCATCGCTGCGGAAAACCGGACGAGATTTCTTGGCATGATAACATAAATTACACACTCTACCATTTCTTTCAATATTATTCCATCTACCCATCTCTATTGGAGGACGATTGTTGCTTGTTCTGAATTTTGAAAAGATATTTCTAAATTTTCTTGGTAAAATAGTTAAGTACTTTTCACATTCAAACTTTGATTTAAAAATTCTTTATATGTATTACCTTTACTAGAATTATTCATATCACTATACCATTTCTGTAAAAACTGGTCTTTAAGTGTTTGGTTTATTTCAGTTGCAATCCAATTAACACTATGAAAATTTCGATTTTTCCAAATATTACATAGCCCTGTTGTTTTAAGAATATTCTGTATGAAGAATGTCCATGTATTACTTATCCAATTTTTTGTGTATTTATCATAAGGATGTAAGACGTCGCGCACGGTGTTGGTGTCAAAAAGTCAATAATTACTATTACGGCTGCATATGCGCTATTTCCATAATTTTAAAACAATTCACTATATGAAAACTATTTATTATTCGGTCGGTAATTGTATACTAAATACATTTTAACAAAAATATTGATAAAAAAATTCCAATCATCAAATATATTTATTCGACTATTCAAGCAATTACGTCAAAAACGCATGTAGATAGGTAACAGGAGCGTTGCATACGCAATAACAAAATGTTGATAATCTCCATAAAACAAACAATACAAACATAAAATTTAGCAGAAAAGTTTAAAATACGATGTCACTGATGTAAAGTTTTACAATTGTGATTTTGTTCAAACCGAATGTTGTGAACGCGTTGTTCAAAATGCAAGACAGCGATGTAGATAAGCATTATCCGAAGAAATTTTGAAGGAACATGAAATGTCTTCGGTAACTTAAAAAATAATTTCATGAGCAAAATCAATTTTGAAATGGCATGTCAATGATCCTTTTTGTGTGTAAGGAACTATATTTTACGAATCGTGTTCAGCTTTAAGTAATGGTTATAAGCCGAAAACTGTCCATTATGTCAGATATTAGACGACCCGAGGCGCGTTAGCGCCGAGGAGAGTCTAATATCTGACATAATGGTCAGTTTGGTCAGTTTGGTCTGCTTGGATGACTACCTGGTACTGTTCATCATGTTAGGCCAAAGAAAACCAATTTTGGTTTTTCTTCTGTCTTTATCAATCTATATTAGTAGGAATCATCGAAAGGTGTTTTATATCGATGAATATGAAAATTAACTTTGTTTAGTCTTATTTATCCGCATTGCGACATTTTTTATATATACTACGCATGCGTAAAACTCAGTTCTACTAAATTCTTTACTATTTATTCATTTTACAACGCAATGACCACGGATGAAGACGTACATTTTTATTTTGAAAAAAAAGACCTTCAAAATCGGGTCTTTTGACGATGATATTTATTGATTACACCAAGATGCCTAAGTTCAGGTTTTTACTGTGAAATCCGGATATATATTTTTATGTTTCGGAATTTGCAAGAAACAGTTCCCGTTAAAAGGTAATTTTTGTAAAGCAATAGGATTTGAAGGATTTTACTCAAATAACTGTTTATTAAAGTATTTTCTATGAAATTGGGAGATTATTCCTGATGTATTTTTTAAAAATGCAATTCTCTTTTGTGAGCAGGCTTCGAGCTCGTAAGGATTTTACACCAGCCACTCCTTAAAACGACGGATACTCGATTAAACGACGCAGGACTAGTTGGACAAATGGTCATAAATCACCGGACGAAATTACAGATTCCGTTGGAATTTCGTGAGCTAAATTTTGTGCTAAATGCGGAAAAATGGATATTTCAATAAACAAAAAGCCCAAGGTTGTGTGCAAGAAAACACATGCTTCTCATTCATCTTTTGTGTCCATTGGATTCTATATATGTTCCGTGGATCAATCATTGTGAAATGAATCTATTATATAGCAATGAACGGTGAATTTAGGAAATTTATAATCGGAACCACGGATGCGTTTACAATAATGACTCTGAGACATTCAATTCACTGGATTATTTGTGCCATTTTCAATAGGATTTTTTGTGAAATATTAACATTTAACGCTACTAATTTCCTACATTGTTCATATTAAATTGTTTGATTTGTCATTGCCTTTTACGTGGTGCTTACTTATTTGTCTCGCCCTTTGTTCTCATTTTAACGTTACCTGTACCTGTCCAATAAGTTGAATCTTATTGGATACCTACAGGTAACTTATTGGATGGGGTGCAGGACAATAACAAATTTATTGAACCAGGTTTAACAAAAGATGACGTCACAAAAATGTTTTAAGCCTATTTATTGTGGGGACATTGACTAAGATGGTGTGTCACAAAGTTTGGAGGTTCCATCTTGCAATGTTTTTAAGATTCGTTAAATGGCAAATTTTGTAATGCTGGATGAAAAATTGATGTTGAAATTTTTTTTAAAATTCTACAAAATGTTACCATGTTATTAAGAAAAAGATCTCTAGACAGAATTTTAACTTGCGGTGCCTAAACCTTTAATAACAATTACCGTGTTACATATATGTACTATATGTAGCTATACGTCACAATTGAATTTGACGGCAAAAACGTCACGTTTAAATGCTACACCCCAGAAACTACCTAAATTTTAAGAATTCATTTTTCTAATTTGGCACCAAACACCTTTTAATACAAAATGTGCAAAATCAAAACTTTATTTAGATATAAAAATTGAATTGATTAGATAAAGAAGTGTTTGTCTTAAAGGCTTTTTACAATGTCAAAATAAATGTCACACATTGTCCAAAAGTAATAAATCTTACTATAATTGTATAAATTTGGTAACATTGATCATATGTGTAGTCATTGAAAATAGACATATTGAAAATTAAGGATTTTTATGAAATGTACATCTTTTCAAAAAGATATTGGTATATTCCAAAATAATTTCTGAAGAATGGTGACAAAATCCTAACAAAAATTCAATGTCAATATAAATGTTACAGACGTAAAAATTTGGCGTTTTGACGTAATTAGTTTCAATGCATAAAAGCCATGTAAAGAGTCAAAATATTTTCCTCTCTCCAAAACTTACTCTCAATTGCTGATGAGCCTGATATGGATGAAAGAAACACATACCAATAATGATTAATTAGAAAAATTATTTTAAGTTTTAAAAGTCAAATAAATATACAAAAGAAAAACATGTGCAGTGTATACTTGTACACTGTATCGGTATAAATCCTTGTCAGAATCTGTACAAAAGTACCATTCAGTGTTCAAATTAAGACACGAGAAAAAAAGCACAAAAACCAAAATTTATGCAAGGATATGATTTCAAATTTGAATTAACTCACAGTAAAGTGTGTCAACTCTATTTTATGCTGGTATAAAATGTTCTATACATGGCGAGTTAAAATTGAATAATCCAATATTGAATAAGGGTTAGAGGTTGTCGGAGGTGAGTACAAATGTATCAGATTTTCATTACAAGGTGGGATGGGACTTTGAACGAAAAAAAAAAATTCAATGCTAAATCAGCAAAATATCTATAATCGTACAATTTAATGAAAACAAAGGACAGGTTCTAGGGCCTACTGATATGGAATTTTTTTGAATTTATCTCAATGAAATAAAAAGCATGTAAATCTAAAATGCGATGTTGAACAAGTTTCGTTATTTCTACCAAGTTTTTTTTTAAATGAGGCAAACCATGCTCATACTTTCCTCCCGCAATGTGCATGCAGAAGGGTGCAGATAATTTAATGACACGTGTTTTCAATTACCTGCATTATATAATTGGCGGCATTACTGGATTTTTATTTTTCCTCCATAAAAAATGTTAGCAAAAAAGCAACGTCAAATAAATTTTCTAGAACTTCTCGTAAAATAACGTCATTTTGACGTTACCGAAACTGACACCAACACCGTGCGCATCGTATAAATAAATAATTCTACAGATCTTATTCCATTTAGACGATAGACGATATACATTTCTTGCAATCTTGTTACAATTGACGGTAGTTCTGGGGTCTGTTTCTTATGCTGCAGGCAACAAAGGATCGCCGTGCAATCGCTAGTAAATTTTCCCCCATTGAAACGTCTTGACCATCGTCAGAGATAGAGGGCCTTGAATGAGTTGAAAAAACCTGACGATGGCGTTGACGCATAACAGATACAGGCACTTGTTTCTGTAATAAAATTTGGACCCATAGGATAATAATAGTAACACAAGGTATCTACATGTAACTTCGAATTACACGGAGTACCCCTCTCAACGCTCTAATTTACACTTTCAGAGGAAATGCACTGGAAAAATGTTTATTAACATTGTCTTCTACGATAATTTATCTACACAGTCAAATATGGCTTGCTTGTCTTTATTTTCTTTAATATCCATAAACAGCGTCAAAACTCTGCTCGCCAAGTTAAAAAGTCGAACTCAACCGTAAAATAGAATGCTAATCTCGGGCAAAGCGAAAATTAAAAAATGAGTGGGTTTAAAAATTCAATACTAGATTTTAAATATTGCATTGAATAAATGAAATGTGTGTCTTATTTTCCATAAAACACTACGATATTTTTCCAATGTAATTTTAGAAAAAGTTTTTAGCCAATCAGATTTGAGGTCTAATTCTGTGCTCGAGATTAGCACAAGGTGCCTCCTATGTCTTTTACAATCAGAGAGGAAAATTAATGCGCAGTTGAATGTGGAAAATTCTTCAAGATTTTCAAGTACCCGGTACTTTATATTCATGATATTTCCGATGAATGTAGACTTATCTGAAGGCCTTATACTTCTTTTTTTATGATTATGTGTTATGAGGGTTTCTAAATGACAAATAATTAATTATGAATATATTTTTATATAATTGTTCCATTACTTTTCGGTCTTGTTTGACATCTGTAGTTGAAGGTTGTGTTCATTTGATGATTAGGAAAGGCATTTTTGCACATGGTAGCAATATCTAATTCTTGACATCTTTTTCCTGTCTCACGATATCAATGTCATTTACTACTACTTGTTATCAACTTTATGGTTAGAACTTAGGATTGTATTCTTTAAATTTGTTATGCTTAGCTCTACCAAATTTCAGTGTTTTAAATGAATGTCATACGGATTCCTCCTGTTCTTGCAACTTTTTGTCCTTAATTTAATTGGCTGGTCAGTACGAAAGTGGGCGGAGTTAATTGTCAAAGATTAGATGTGAGTGAGTTTGTATGTGAGTCAGTTTAGGACAATTATTTGTTAAATTCAGTTTTGTAAAACCTTAAAAATTCTTTGTTAAATTCAGTTGCTCTAAATTGTATTTGTGAAATTCATATTTTTGACTTATTATAAACTGTAAACTTTAAAACCGACTCATATCAATTGACGATATTGCACCTTCATATCATGTTTTAATTTTTTCTGCTCGTCTTTGAAACCGACTTACGTGGTTATTATGTTTCAAATTTATCTTTATTTGATCATATACGGAATAAGTCTGCATGTATATGATTAAATCATGTGAGATCAGATGACAAATGGAGTACGTAACATCCCCTGTCGACCGTTTACATCCGCCTTGTATAAATGAGAAAAACGGAAAGCCTTCACCAGTTCAAGCAACAATTTGTGCGAGAAATGGCGGCGTCACTGTATTCTATTGAAGCGAATAAAACCCAGAGACGCTTGAGAAAATTTTAATGGAGGTCCAAGGGGGTTCAAGGAGGGAAGCTCCCAACATATATACACTGCATATAAACCTACATAAAAGAAATTTAACAAAACAATACCGACTTACCTGTATAGGAAAAAAAAATTACACTTCTATATTGAATTCTTCATTTTGAAGATTTAGTAGATCTTTTTTGATAAGTTCCAAGAGAGTGATAAACTTATCGTCAATATATTTATGGTGTTTCTTGCATACACACATATTCCACAAGGTATCCGTCATAAAAAAAAGTTACTAAGTCCCGGTCTGTTTTGGTAATGATGTTACGACTATTTTCCACATTGCTTCAATTATTTTGTGGAATTAAATGTTTCCCATTTTTGAATTCTATGGAATTGTTCACCGTCAATTTGAAAAAGAATAGGAATAAATTCTCTAACGTTATTTCACAAAATCAATTAAGAAATAAAATTGCAGTAAAAACCTCAACTTCTTCACCAAATGATTAAAATGAATATTACTGCACCTTAAATGCAACCTCAAATAACTTTCATTTGGTTTCTCGCCAAGAACCAAGAATATCCAGTCACCTTCAACGTTTTTCTCACGAACATATCTAATCACGTTTGCTTTCGTTAAGTTTCACCGATTTATCTAAATTATCGAAAATTTTCGCCTTACTAAGTGACTATAGTGTCTACTCACATTTTATTAAACTTTGAGTGTATCACTCATGCTGAACTGTTGATCCTAAAGTGACTCTATTGTCCGATAATTATAATTTGAGTGTATCACTCTTAACGCAAACGAACTAATCCCAATGGGAATGATTCATTTCTTCAAAGTGTCATTCACTTATGATAATATTTTGTGACAAATTATGTTCTGTGGATTATCTTTAAATAAAATATTCATTTCCTTTGGATTTTTACAATCTTATTGATATGCCTTTTGGTAATGCAATTGTGTCTTAAATTTTCATATTGGTTAGTTCAACTTAAGAACATCTGGATTATTCTATTAATGCATACAAGATTTGTACGCATGCGCTGTCGTTGGTTTTACCACGTGCGAAGGTATGCTCACATTTTCAAATACACAGCCTATAGAATGGCACGTCGTTTCGATCGAAACATAAAAGAAGAAAACGATCTATTAAGGGCAATAAATAACAAAGCCCACAGAAATAGAAAGTTTTGCTCAAATGTTCTTTATGCAAGAGAACATGTATTCAATCTGACTAAAAGCAAGTTAACAGATAATGAATACTTATTATTAGGAAAAGGGATGAAATTCATCTCTACACCTTCGACAAAAGTCGTTAAAGTGGCAGAGGATAGTTTCGAATAAAGTACCGGTCAAAAAATAGAAAAAATAGAGAAACCTGAGGTTTGAATGCATATTATAGGTAATTTATAGCTAGAATATTTTATGGGTGCATTTTGAGGGAATTGGTGGCCTTGTATATTTTATTGAAATATGATACTTTAGTGTCACTACTACTCTATATGGGATATGGACTAGAAATACGAAACTAAGCTCAAAACTCGCTCTACCGGTATTTCACCAGAAAAGCGGGGTGGGTTCATAGGATGAATTGTAGCTTGAAAACGAGGTGGTTGAGCCATTATCTCTTGCTGGTCATTGGTACGTACAAATGTTTTTCTGCAATTTGTGTGGTAGCTTAGGTCATGAGCACGGGCCTGGAAGCAGTTGCGGCTGCGGCGAAAAAGTGAAAAAAGGGTTGATTCACATGAAATTTTGAGATTGTCCCTGTACTATCTTTAGGGCTCATTGTGTAAGTTGTACATGTTTTATTCCTAAAAGCTTTAAATTCCTCAAGGGACTGCATCATACTATTATTACATGTAGAGGGAATTAAAAATTTTTCAATGCACATTTTAAAAGCAGCTCAATATTAAGTAAACCGTCAGTCAAACGTTTTGATTGCAAAAAAAACTATTCTCTGCCACCTTCAAGAATACATCAATTTTTAAAAATGTGAATTTTAGTCTGAGTTTTATACAAAAGGGTTTATTTATGTATGTCAATTTAAAAAAAATATTTTGTTTCTGTTATTTAAAATCTGTACAGTTGGGTATATTCACTAAAAAGCAAGGAGAGTTAGTCTTTTCCAGCATACATTTTTAAAGACTTTGAACCATCAGCATAATAAATCATAAAAGATTTAGGCATTTTTTGCCAGAGAATGAATTAATTGTTTGAATTTGATACTTTGGGTATTGTCGCATAATTAAAATCATGTCTTGCTTTAATTAATTAAATCTAATTAAAATTTAAGTGTATCAATTAGTGCGATATCACTGAAATTACATAAATTTGCCATTTTTTCAACCTAATTTACAAATTATAATTATTTTGAAAATAAAAATCGGTCAGCATACCTAAATGTCACTAAACCTAACCATATATAGTACAAAAAACTTTTTTTGCTTTTTTTTTTTACCAAATTTAACCTATTCTATTATTGATGTATTCATGAAATATGCCCCCCCCCTTTCATTTTTTAAATTTATCTATTTTTGAATGAGGCAGAATCTAAATTTTTCAATGGTTTGCTATAAAATGACTATTTTTCTTTGAATAATGACAAAACAAATAGTTTTTATTGCATATTTAATTAAGTAATATCAATAAAATGTGCATTTTCATGTAATTATTGAATTCTACTAGGCTCATATAATCTGCCCACAATTGCCCAGGATGGACAGAATTTTTAGTATTCAAGAGAATTAAATCTGTGTATTTGATTACTCAAAACAGTTGAAAGTAAATATCAGACATTTAGAAAGAATGTAGCTAGGACAAACAGATTTTCACAGTGCATTTTCATTACACGGAAGCACTGGCTGCAGGGGTAGGGTGTTGAACTGCCATTTCCTGGACACCTTTACTATAGCATGTGATGCAAGAGGATTTTTTGCATATCATGATAAATATCTTGAAAGTTGAAAAGGGTTTTAACTTTGCAAAGAAGTTATAGGTATATAAAACCAAGTAAAAAAAGATAAATAGGAATTTCAGAGAACATGAAATATAGGGGAGTATGTGATACATGTGAGTACATTTCACCAAGATGTGCGCTTTATATTTGACTTTTTACACATAAATGTATTTGAAATAGATTAAAATTACCATTTAACACTTTTTAGATGGTATATTGACCATCTGGATTTGAAACAATTGCTTTTGTTTTATGTGTAACAAACATTATGGGGTTAAGGTGGTTGACCGAGAACTGGTGAAGTCCCTTATTTGGTCATAACTTTTTTATTTTTCAATGAATCAAGACATATTTGGTATATTTTTATTCAGAATTGCATATTCTTCTTGAATTGAGCAAGGTTTGTTACTTGCAAGACAAACTTTGAAAGTTAAAGGTGGCAGAGGATAGTTTCGAATAAAGTACCGGTCAAAAAATAGAAAAAATAAAAAAAAAACCTGAGGTTTGAATGCATACATGTATTATAGGTAATTTATAGCTAGAATATTTTATGGGTGCATTTGGAAGGAATTGGGTGCCTTGTATATTTTATTGAAATATGATACTTTAGTGTCACTACTACTCTATATGGGATATGGACTAGAAATACGAAACTAAGCTCAAAACTCGCTCTACCGGTATTTCACCAGAAAAGCGGGGTGGGTTCATAGGATGAATTGTAGCTTGAAAACGAGGTGGTTGAGCCATTATCTCTTGCTGGTCATTGGTACGTACAAATGTTTTTCTGCAATTTGTGTGGTAGCTTAGGTCATGAGCACGGGCCTGGAAGTAGTTGCGGCTGCGGCGAAATAGTGAAAATAGGCTTGATTCACATGAAATTTTGAGATTGTCCCTGTGCCATCTTTAAGGCCCTGTCACACCAAGCTGCGTTCACACGGAGTCATTACGGCGTTGTTAAATTTTTAAAATCGCCGTGGAATCGCAGGAAAACTGCACAAATTTCTGTAAAATTTTCATAATATGAAGATGTCACGGCGTCCCTACGGCGACGGACGCGATCCTACGGCGATCTCACGGCGTTCTACTGCGTTCCCACGGAGATCTCTCGGCGATTGACTGCGCTTCCGCGGAGTTTTCACGGCGCGTTAGGAGTTTTCACCTCGTGTTCACGGCGTTCTCACTGCGCTGGCTGCGTTCACAATACGTTCACAATGCGTTCTATACTCATTGATTTAAATTCTTAAGGAATGTAAAACATTTTTGTTTAAAGATTCAAGTTACACGATGAAAAAACTTCTAATCATGCGAAGAAATATTCTTATTAATTAAAAAAAAATGTTCTATTTACATAATTTAGTACTTAATTATAAATTGTTTTATGATTAAACTCCCTTTTTAAAATTTTATCGGTTCAGATGTGTTGTTAGATTTTCTTTGATTTTATTATAAATGTAAAAAAAAGATAAACACACTGAAAAGTTTTCTACAAAATTTCAGTGAAACAACAGAACAAGTTCTGATGTAATTTTCTCTTCCATTTTTGTTTTCACTCAAATGCTCCTAGTGCAACAAATACGTTGGAATAATTGCTGAACAAATATGATCCCACTGCTCTTGTTTTGTGAGCTGGCTGACAACGCCCTAACAACGCCGTGAAAGCGCATTGTGATCGCCAACGGACGCTGTAGAAACGCCATGGGAGCGCAATGATCGCAGTGACGACTCCGTGTTGTCGCCGTTTAATCGCAGTCCAAAAAATCGCAAGACGATAAATCTCATTAGAAGCGCCATAAAAACGCGGTAGAAACACAGTGACATCTCCAAGGACTCCGCGACATCTCCGCGAGGTCTCCTTGGAAGCGCAGTCTACTATCACTGCGTTCGTGCCGCGATCATGTGCGTCTTCACGGCGCTCGTACGGAGCTTCCACTACGTTGTTGGAGATCTCACCGCGCTGCTACGGCGATCATACTACGTTTCTACGGCGTTCTTATCAGACCGCGATCACACGGCGCGTACTTTGTGCATGCCCAAAGTGATCGCTGTCCCCTGGCGTTCTAGGAGACCCTACGCGACCCTAGGGCGTTCAGTGGAGATCTCGCCGCGTTGTCACGGCGCTGTAGGAGACTCCACTGCGATCACCTCGGCGTTTTGCATTTTTTGAGGACGCCGTGCAGTCGCCGTGAGGACGCA